AATTGAGTCCTCACTTGAGTAAAAGGTTACTACCAGCTTGCGTTTTTAGAAGTGACGAGATTGCTTCTGATGAACAACTGAAATGAATTCAGCGTTAAGTCGAGAAAATGAATACAGGACAAGTAGTTTGTGACAGTTAGAATGATTAGTCACAATTTACTTCACTATTACAGGCGGTAGCAACTTCTTTTTGTTTCTTCATCGGACATTTCTACTTCACAAAGCATTTTATATTTGTGCTCTTTTGTGTGACAAGTTCTAATAAACTTGTGCTTTAAAAATTCTGTAAAAATAAAGTGCTTTTTAAATAAATTGCTTTTCGTCTTGTTTATTGTCATACAATACGTTCATTCGAAGAGCTCATCACTGCTTATCAATACGAGTAGGATAATGAGCGCAAACCTCTGTAGAGAAGGTGATGTATTCATACGAAATTTCTGAACACTGAAATTGAAATGAGTTTGCTTAATTACAATTTTGATGCAGAAATTTACTTCACATGATCTATTGTACGGAAATACCAATTACGATTACCCAACTCGTATTTTTTCTCGTTTAGGCATTGATTTTCATTCAGATCTTTTTCAAAAGGACAGATAATTAGCAGCATATTTGATGCCAGTCAGGTTACCGAATGAACCATTCAAATGTGAATGCGATCTCGACCAAATGGTAGGTTAAAGAAGGAACCTGTTCGAAAGTTCACTTTGTACATTTGCAAACGCCTCGCGAATACTTTCGAGCATCTTCAATTGTTTAACGTACCTATCAAAAATTTACTGGTAAACGTGCAAGCATTGAAGTATCAGTTACTTCTCAAACAATTTCTTGCGTTAAGATGCTAACATAATTGACTGTAATCATAGTGTACGATAATTCAATTTATCTGCACATCGAATTGCAGTCACTGTTTTCCATACCTCATAATCACCGTTATTTTCAGGGTATTAATGAGTAACTATTTCCAATCATGCACCACGAATGAGCATAAAACAACATGTTATTAAACGTCACTCGCGTATCATGATCACTATCTTATGGACATCCACTTCAATTTGAATACCTGGTGATTGCTTGAAAAAATCCTGGTGGAACATTTTCGAGGTTCATTCTCGATATGATGATACAGTCACAAGTTATTCAACTTCGAAAAAAGTTATATGAACATAACAAACTACAATCGAACTTTGTTAAAATTTGAAAGGAGCACGACACTAAAATCTTACAGTGCAAAAGGGAGGAAGTTTTATTTTTACATAATTAGAATTTACTCAGAGAGTGTGAGATGTATTTAAGTAGAATTTATAACGCTAAAAACAAACATTAAAATTTGATTGAAATCAGCTGATGAACAAGTATTTGAATGTAGACATGGTCGATCAATGATCACCATTTGAAAAGTCAGAAAAAGAACGATGAAAATCAATTTAAAGGCATGTTTATTGGTGGATTACAACTATATTTAGTTGCGATATCGACATAATATTACATAAAAAGAGCATCATTCACAGTCCGTTTCCAGATGATAATACCCAAATACTGTACAACACAGTTATACAAAAAATATCAGTCCATTTAGCGTACCCCGCATAACTAATCGAGTAAAAATGAGAACATGAATACGTCACAGTTCGATTGGAATCTTTCATGGATATTGACACATCTTGATGGATGTATCAGAGAATAGAAAGGAGGCAATAAAGAAAAGAGATTGTTAATGATGCGAAAGAAATTGGGTAAATGCTGGATGTTTGGTGAGCAAATCTACTGCACTTGGCCTGTTTTCAGGTGCTCTTTCAAGCAAAAGAGTAAGCAATTCAGAGAGAGTAGGATCAGTATTTGATGGTAGTTCATAAATGGGATGCTGATAAGCAATATTGAAGATGACAGCCATTGGCTCAAGTCCATACCATGGTGGTGTACCAGTTAGCATCTCGACGAGTGTGCATCCAACACTCCAAATGTCTGCCTTACGTCCATAAGCACTCTTACCAAGCACCACTTCTGGTGCCATATAATGCGGTGTACCAATGAATGATGCACTCTGTTGACTACAGATTGTTTGAAGACGTTTCGCTGAACCGAAATCACCGATCTTAACGTTGCCATGCGAATCTCGAAGAATATTCGCTGATTTGATATCACGATGTATCATATCGTTACGATGCAAATATGCAAGCCCTTGTAGTACCTGATAAGTATATTTTCTTGCGACTGCACTCGACAGGGGTCCGTATGTCGAAATAAGATCTTTTACTGAACCACCCGCCATGTATTCCATAAATATCGATATTGATTCATCTGTGCGCTGTACACCCAAATACTGTACAATCCGTTTGTGTTGTATTGTACTCAAAAGGTTGATTTCATTCTCCAGCTGCACAATCTGCTTCTTCAAGTGAGTATCCGAACGCGCGAAATGCAACCTATAATAT